TTATTGCGAAATAGGAGCACTATTTATCAATCTGTAATAAAAAACGTGGGGAAATTCTGTCTTTTTTAAAGACAAAAATTTCTGAGGCGAAATACCCAAAAAGAAGTTTGTAAAAAGACATAGTATCTTCAGCTTTTCTGAATAAATTGATACACCCAAGTGGTTAATATTTGAAATATACTTACTTAAGTAAAAGTAATTTGAAGTCCAACTTTGGATTTCTATGCAATGTTGTCTAAATGCCATATGCTATGCTTTTGGTGAGAAATGTTGGGGTTCAAGCGTTGACCGTCTAATTTCAGTTAATAGGTTTTCTGCATGTTCGAGGACTTTTGCTGTAACTCTTCTGTTGCGCCCGAATAATGCCGAATCATCCCTGTTCCGGCAGCGTTCGGTCCAGAACGATCCTTGTGGAAAGCAGAACTGGCTATAGGAAAACAGTAGTAGTCAGTGCGCTGCGGGCTTTCAGATAGAGCGCAAATTCCTGCCGCCTCTACTTTACCCGGTTGACCCGATTTACGTGCGTGCGTAAACATTCACATTCACATTACTCATGTATATAATATATTAAATGATACTCATGTTTCTCAATGTTTGAAATATCGTCAATTGACAGAAACATGTTTGATCGCGAATAATTATTTTATGAGCAACTCCTATGTCTAGTAAATAGCCCACTGGGGTTAAGGTGGGGCTTCTGGTGCACTCTCTGCGGCTTCTAGTGTTTGTTCATGGGTTGCTTCTTGGTTTCAGGTACATTTTTTAATCACGCAGAGTCAAGTAGTTCCTTTATGTATGAAGTCATGTGGTCGACCGAGTTATTTTTATCAAGTCTCTTCAAAGAGTGAGGTATTATTAATATGATTGAAATACAAAAGGATATTATCGTAACTTCACTTTTTCTTACTAATTCGATTACCTGTAAAGTTACAAGTTACAAGTAGTGTATAATTACGTCCTTGTTTTAAGTTACTCTGATTCGATTTCAAGCAACATTCTAGGCATGTTTAAATGATATAAAGGACAAAGTGTACATACTTAACCACCTACTACAGAGTAGGTAGTTGCAGTATTCTGCAGCATCTGAAGACTTGAATGGTTTGACCAGGCGACTCTACGCCCGGCAAATGAATGGAAAGTAGGGTGTGCTTCGTAGATCTTTTGGGCGCTTAGATTTTCCACTCGGTTTAAGAGGAGGTGGGAAAAGTGTTAAAATAGTTTGTACAATTTGTGACCCATTACATATGTCAGTATGTCAGTATGTATCCATGTGAAAAATGCTCGCGCGGTTCTTGGAGTTTGCTAAATGATCAAAGCGAAAACAATCCCGCTAGCTGCTTTATTTGCCAAAAATAAAACACTTTGCTTTTGACAGTGAAGTGTATAGGTTTTGTATGTTGTTTTAGTAGAATTGTCTCGAACGTCCCCTGCTTGCAGACAAAAATTATAAAAAAATGCCTCATGTCTTTTCACACTTGATAGTTGCATAACTCCCAGATCGCAAACTCATAATTCTTATGCGCTAAAGCAATTTTGTGGAAAGTTTTATTGATAATAGTCATACGTTTAATAATTCAGTTGGTGAAGATCGACTTTGGTTTTGTCACAAAATGAGTATTCATTTTCTAGAGCTGTTGACTTGCATTTGATTGGTATCAGTAATATACGCACATCCGCTACAGCTTGTATGTTTTCATATAAAAACTGTGTCTTAAATAGCATAGAATCTGTAAATCCAGAATTGCTGGCAATTCTTTTTGCCGCTCGTCAGTTGTAATTTCTAATAGTGAACCAGTAGGTACCTACATATGAAAAACGCGTAATTTTCAACCAGCCACAATTGGCAGTTAAATTAATCGATGGTTTGGTTTCTCGGACAGAGAATGGAAATTTCTGACTAATAGTTGCAGTTGCAAAAGCATTAATGGAAAGCCTTTTAGGCTTTTGCCGAAACTGGTGCAGAATACAGGCGGCAGTCACCGAGCCTCTGATGTGCCCATAATTAATAATTATTATTTCACCTATTGGCAACAATAATTCAATTTCTGGAAACAATGGAATTAATCAGAACAATACCCGGTCACCAGTTGAGCACGTTGACTAACACCTTGTCATCAGTATGACCGCCTTTGTACTGAATAATGCACCTGAATACATCGCAATTATTACTACAATCTTTGTCGAAGATCTGCAGCCGATAAAATAGGGTGTTTTCATTGTATCAAAAATTCCTACAAACTGAACATTAATCGATGGTAATATATATGTACGTATATATACCAAAGATTAGATAAGTTTATACTATCTATCTATTGCTATTTTGTTAAATATTTAATAACCAAATTCAGCTGAAATTCAAATTATTCATGAATATCTAAAACGCAATCCTATTAGTTGTGACGTCTCTGGTCATATCAATGGCGATTGTTTACGTTCTGTGCATAGTGTTTA